ATCCATTGCTTCACTCTCATATAGTCTGTCAGTCATCCAACAAATTTATTATGAGTTTGTCTCTGCATGTATTTTCTTACCAAACCAAGCCTGCTGGTCTCCCTGCACCTCGATAGCAAGGCCAAAGTCTGCCAGCTTCACTGCGGCTCCCTTCATCTTGCTGGCCAACAACAGGTTCTCAGGCTGACACACATATTAAGAAGCAGAATGTAGGACAAGAGATCAAGACGGAGATAATTACAGGCACTCGGACGTGAAGCTATTTCTTAGAAATATTTATTTTTCATGTATTCCACACAGCTTGTGCGAAGGTGGGGTGAAGGCGTAGGAAAGAGACAGAAATACAGAGGAGGTAGGGGAAAGGATGGGTGGTTGACAATCTCCACAAGACCTTATATGGTCATGGTTTCGTAGCCATGGAAACCACTCGGGAGTCATTTCTGCAGAGCTGCAGACTGCATGCTGAATGTACTTAGCGAGAGGCGGTGTGTGTGGCGGTGCTCTAAATGGCAGTTGTTTGGGCAGCGGGACATGAAGGGACGCAATAAAAAAGCCCACTCAGGATAAAAGGACAACAAATCAGATGGGCAGCGCTCGGGGCTATGGCGTTACGCTGCAACACGGAGCTGCCCACGCATTTCATCTCAGACATGCCTTGAGACGTTAACGCCACTCGGTGCAGCTTCCGCATGAAGATGAAGCGATTTAATACACGTTATCATCAGTCTGATGATTATTTTTACATTAAACACGGTTCTGAAACAGAATTAAAAAGGAGGCTCTCTTCCTGCACTCTGAGCCAATCAGCAGTTTAGGACAAGCGAAGCCCCTCCCACGTGGCTCTACGGGCGGTGTGATGTCACACAGGTTGCCCTGGCAACTCCTGTGCCTATGTGCTCACCTCTTCCCTCACAGCTGAACGATGACAACACGTGTGTGTGCGTGTGTTCCTGCACGTGTGTTGAGTCTTTTTATCTGTATTTGGTTTTTTCCACAGGTGAGAGACAAACTCCTTCCACATGATCATGACTCGTCATCTGTGCTCAGCATGAACACACACACTTATGTCTCTCTATCCTTGTGGGGACTTTCCATTGACCTCCATTCATTTTTTGGAAATGTTATATCTTAACCCTGACCATTTACCCTAAAATTAACCTCACAGGTACCTTACCTGACCCTAAAACTAACCTAAACTCACACCTTGGTCCTAAACCTAACCCCACATCCAAAATCAGCCTCTGAAATTGTGGGGACCAAAGCCCAGTCCCCACAAGGCTTAATTTTCCTGAAAAATCATCCCCACTAAGTAAGAAAAACAAGGGAACACACACTTTTGTTTCCTGACCCTGTGGGGACCTTCCATTGACTTCCATTCATGTTTTTTAGACTTTATACCCTAAAACTAACCTCACAGGTACCTACCTGACCCTAAAACTAACCTAAACCTTTGTCCTAAACCTAACCCCCACCCCACCCGTAATTTGCATTTGGACCCATGGGGACTGGGCATTGGTCCCCGCGAGGCTGCTTTTTTAGGAAATATTTCCCCACGTTGTAGGAAAAACCCGTCTCCACACACACAAACTGAGGACTTTGTTTCAACTTCCATTCATTTTTCTAAGTGTATTTATGTCTAACTCAGACATTTTCCCTAAAATTAACCCTAACCTGAACTTAACTCACACCATACCTCTAAACCTAACTGGTAAAGCACAGTAGAGCTGCAAAGAAAGTGAGGACATTGAAGAGGTCCTCACTTTACATCAAAGACCTCACTTTGATAGTAACTATGGTGCAAATGGTCCTCACTCTGTAGTAGAAACAAGTACACACACACACACACACAGACACACAAGCAGGTGAGCACATTCTGGTCAAGGACAGACAGAAGGACAGATGTGACAACAGATAGAGGAACACAGGGGAAAGAAAGAATAAACGGGAGGGGAACTCAGAAAAAAAATAAAAAATAAAAAAAGGATGAGAGCAAAACTGCAGAGAGAGAAAAAGAAACTGAGACTGAGAGCCATCTCTGTGTTGCCATGGCCACGAGCAGAGGTGTGTGAGAGTGTGTGGTTGTCACAGCAACGGGCAGCCACTCACCTTGAGGTCTCTGTGCACAATATCATGCTGGTGGATATGATTGACACTCTCCAAGATCTGGCTAATGCAGTGACTGCAGAGAGAAGGAAGAAAGAGGGGCGACGTGTCAGCCGCTGGCCTTCATTACAAAAACATGACAAACCCCAAACATGATGTGTCTGCCCTGCATTTCACTGAAGCCTGTGTGTGTGTGTTGTGTGTGTGTGTGTGTGTGTGGGGGGGGGGGGGGGGGGGGGACTGCAAAAACTGCATTTCACTGCAACACTGTTTAGAAATCAAGTAGGAGGAAAAACCTCGACATCACTCATCAGGATTATAAAAACATAAGCAGGGCTGTTACTCCTCGTGAGACTGGAGTCAGATTTGATCATATGTTGCTTTTTTCATCACAACCAAAAGTTTTAAAGTTTAGTAAGTCACGTATTTATGACAAACAAGAAATAAGTGGCTTTGCTATTTAGTTTTAGTCACAAGTATAAAAACACCTAATCTTTCAATGTGGTTAGTAGTGTCTTTAACAGTTTTCATTACTGACTGATGAAATTTGACACTGACACAGCTGACAAAGCTCATGCTGTGTCTTGCACAATTTCCCTACAAGCCACTACAAGACGCATCGTATTACTGTCCTCCTCAGCGTCACGGCAGGCTTCATGATTTCTRTGTTTGGCGCTCATGATGTGGTCATATGTCTGAGAAGATCAGACTGTCAGAGGTCAGGCCTCGATGCTCCACGTCACTTTCTTCCTGTGGGTCTGTGCACTTGTCTGAATGTCCAAAGCAACTCTTCCATGTCTGGATAGATACGGGGGATGGGTACCTTTGACATCTGAATCAATTAGGTACCAATATCCAGTACCTGGGAATCGGTACCGGTACTTAACGGTACCAATTTTCGGTACTTTGTGTGTTGTTTTTTTTCAATAATAAACCTTTTTTAAACATATTTCTCAATATATAAAATTTAACAAATATCAAGACAACTCCAACTCTTTGTATTGTAACATCAGTTTAACTAATTTCTTTTAAGTGAAAACTCTTGAAAACAACAAGACTGTTTTGTCTTATTACACAAATTAAAATCCAGCTCCACYTGTTTCTATTGATGTCATTTCCCCACTAGAAAAATGTGTGATGGAGGTCCATGGAAGGCAAATATGTTTAAATCAAATAAGTAAAAGAGGATTGAGTTAAAATAAATAAAAGGTATTCAAGCTACGTTTTGAGCATCCAAAACGCGTTCAACACTTCAAGTTGGCTGCTTATGCTCTTTCAGGTCAGACGCGTTRGAACTGTCGGGAAGCACCTCTGTTGTTTTCCTCTGCCGGTCTCTGTTTAATGGCGGATGAAATAAAGAAAATCACTCTTCTTTATTTACTTTGAGCAAGCGAACGTCATGTTCACCAGATAATTAATCCACCAGATTATTCAGAGGCGGTCTGTTCAGTGAGTTTCACTCCAGGAGCTGCGAGACTTTCAAGCTATGTTCAGACCGAGCTCTGTTTACTGAACCAGCGGCTGCTGACGTCATTACGCTCGTGCACGATGCTGTGTTCAGGACAAGCATGGAAAACTCACCACTCTTACMCCAATACGGTCYCAATGCTGCYTTCAGGACAAGCATGGAAAACTCACCACTCTTACGCCAATACGGTCGCAATGATGCATTTAGGTACCGAAACATGGTACTGTTTGATGTTACGTGAACAGATACTCGGTAGTACTGACAGAATTCGGTCTGTATTTATAAAATGAGGGTCTGGACTCAAAGTGAATTGTCAATTATTGTGACATAAAGAAAAACTGTTCAGTTCTTCAGTGATAAAGGATTCTGTGAGGTTTGTGATTACAACTAGAAATTTTATGGATGTCACTGTAGTTTATTTTGAAAAGATGATATAATCTTCACATAAATAAGCTCAGCTTTATTGACAGAACCTATGTGTTRGTCTTCATGTTGAGCAGCTCGAAGTAAAAGTGAAGGAATATAAAGACCACCGATTAACAGAATTATCAGCAGGACTCTTTTCTGTGTCATTAGAGGGGTTTTCAGCTGCAGGACTTGGGGTGAGCAAAATAAACTTTAACTCAACCATGTGGTCACGGTCAGTTTGAGCAAAAAWACTTGAAACAGCCAATGGTCCAGAGTCATAAAAAAGGCAGCTGGGATTAGCYCTCATTAAGATGTTAACTCTGCTTTTAAACAGTCGGTTGTTTGCCGACACTTGTTGCGCTACATTAGCRCTGCATGAGCAAAGCCCAAAAAATAAAGCACCTGTTGTAAGAGGCATGAATCACTCTTTGTAGAGCTGGCTGGTAGGTGGAGAGATTAGATGGAACCGGCAGAACTAGGTGGGAGTGTGGGGTGTGGGCTGGGGTTTGAATATTTAAAGAACTGAATAATTACTGGACAAACTCAAAGAGTGGTTGTGCTTAAAATGCTCATCCTTAAGACATCCTGGCATGGTTACGTATTTGTACTGTCTTAACATGACAAACTCCAGCAGTGATCACCTCTTAAAAAAATCCAACCTTGAAACAGATGCTTACAATGCCACAATTCTGTCTGATACCACACAAATCATAAAAATGTTGCAAGTAATTTCAAGCCGGTTAAAGCCGTTTAAGAATCATTCACTAATATGAGCTCACTCCTGCATTCAAATGGAGATGGTTAGTGTGTTTAATGAAAGCTGAGGGAAAGGTACATTACTGCACACGTTGATGGAGATCCATTTCCTGACAAGAATACAAGCAAACCAATTATGTGAGCCAGCACACAAAGACACGGTGCTGCAAATACCTCCAGGGTTAGTGTGGCATTCATATGTTTAATAGGATTACTCTGTACGTTGCACACATTAATGTCCGAGGAGCTTCATGGAGGTGCTTACCTGGCATCAGCCTCACTGTAGTACTCCCTGGCCACGATATCTTCAAAAAGCTCTCCTCCTGTCACTCTGGGACGGGGCGGGGAGGAGAGGGAGAAGGAACGAGTTGCAGAACAAGACAGAATGAGACAGGGAGGCCAAGGAAAGGAGTTGTTAGCAGACACAAACAAACCCCGGTTGTGCGCATGGATAAAATGTCACTGTGCGTGCGTGCGCAGAATATACTCACAGGTCAAAGACGAGGTAATGAAAGCCTTCCTCTGAAATGCTGTCATGCAGCCTCACTGCAAGAGAGAGGGAGGAATGCAACATCAACGCACAAAAAAAACCTAGCAACTACATTAATCAGGGAGGTTTCTGCACCATTTTATGGTTTAATCTCTTCTAAGAAAACTAAATACTTCAACTTAATTAGCATAAAATACTTGGGATATTTACAAACATTACTTTGAATTACTAAACTGTATACATACTGTGAGCATCCAACAGATCTTTTATGAGCTACAGGTGAAACCAGTTAGTGTATGGTTGTGTGACGTAAAACAGTTTAAGATCTGAGATTGTGGTGTGAGAAACCATAGCAGCACAAGCAAGCCTTGAGTTTGCAGAATATGGATGAGGTAACGCCTACAGAATAGAGCTAAATAAAGAAGGGATAAAGTTTTTGTGCAACCACCAACTGGTACCGGCAAACTAGAAGCTGATGCAAGTCCTTTTTTGTTTACTGGTAATTCAGCTCTAAAAAGATATAGACTTGTTTTTGTAAAAAGCACCACAAATAAAAATAGAAATGTAAGTGCGGCCCATTTTACAGACCACATTTCTGTGGTGCACAGGCTGACGACAAGTTTTTTTTTCTTCTTCTTCTTTTTAGACAACAGATAACTGAAAACATTTTGTCAATAAAAGGAAAGATAATCTGTGTAAAGGACATTATCTTTATTATCAGCACAGAACTCAGTGGCGATTTATGAGCTGAATCTGCAGCGGCAACTCGTAGGGTAGCTGCTGATGACCTGTTTAAAACTTAAGTGACAATATTCAAAGGATAGTAAAGTCTTGTCATATTCATCTTTACAACATTGTATTTGTATTGTATCGAACCCATTATAAAGCATTGTTTATTGTGTGTTAGTTGTTTCAATATATACTTGTAATCTGTTTTGTTTTTAAGTTATTTTGTTAAGCACTTTGTGACGTTTGTGTCTGTGAAAGCTGCTATAGAAATAAAGTTTACTATTTGTTTTCTCATTTTAAAACAACCTAAATCTACTCGGAAATAATAAAGCATAGCATWGTAGACATAAATATCGAACTAGTTGGGAATATTTAATGTGCATTCCTGAATTCCTTCAAACAAAAACATGTTGATAAATTGTTTTATTTACTTTAACTTTTAGCTTTATTTTTTTTAAAGCCAAGACTTTATGATCTAAACAACTTAACACATTTCTATAYAACACCTCTTTTCAGTGTTTCATAATATATTCTGTCACAAATGGGCAAATCTGTACTGTAGGTCCTCAGCATCTTGCTTAAATGTGCAAAAGTGTTTAATTTTCTGGTGGATTTCAGAGAAAGATCAGACTGTGTGCCWGGAAGTTGAATTAATGAAGTGGCTAACGGGCTAATTATTAGTGCAAACTAATCAATGTTTTCCTGCTTGTGTTATCTGTATTATTCAGTCAAACTTCAGTCACAGGACATTTGGTAAAAGTAGTCTTTCTGGTTACTGTTATGAATATAAAAAAATATTCATTCTATGTCAACTTTGGTCAAAGAGACACTGCAGAGGGACAGAAGAGCTGCATGAACCACACAGTAGTTGCTGATTCATACTTGTGAAATAAACTATCACATTTACAAAAGATAAGATGACAGTGTGAAAATAAGCATTGTCCAGTAATGTGTGTGGCCATTTTGCTCATCTGCAGATGACGTTCCTAAATAAGCATAACGATGACCAAAAACTCACATCTGGATCAGAAGCTTGGAAGTTTCCTTTTTAAATTTAAAAAGATAAGCATGTTTCCAGATTAATGACACAAAGAAGAGCAGGAGCTTGGCGAGGAGAAGCAAATTCAGTAAAAGGCTTCGTCTGCCTTGATACTGCGGTTATGCGGTAACCACCCCAGCCCTCTTGTCAACTTAACTAAACAGCAGCACAATGACAAAGCAGGATGCAGTCAGCAGGAATCAGGCGTTGGGGGGGTTTGAGATACAGCTTAGGTTTTAGCGTCAGCAGAGAAACAGTGATAGTTATGTAAAGTGAATATCAGTTGTATAATAAGATGAAGTAGGATGCCCCTGCAGCAAGAGACAAGAGTGACCGTTCTTTCCTCCTCTTCCCATCTGTCTCTTAGTCCTCCTGCTTTCGTCTCCATGTGTCTCTTTTTTTTTGTGGCCTCTTTTGTCTACAGTTCGAATGTAGACAATGACGAGAAATGTCAAAAAAGAAGAGAAAGGACAAGAGAAGTAGAAAAATCTATACAGAGAGGGAAAGATAACAGGAAGATTAGGCAAGGAGTGAATAAGTGCCTGGGGGTGGGCAGAAGAAACTAGGACATGAGGAAAAGAGAAATAAAGAGAAGCAGCGGTAAAGGTGCTATTGATTTTGTCATTCTCCTTCCATTGTGGCCTTCTGCTCTGGACATCTTTATTCACGCTGCATGCTGCGTTTATTCTTTTATATTCACAGCTGGTAAAGAATTATAAAAACCTTAATTTTCAAATAATATATTACACATTAAGAGGCATGGCAGATCTGTTCAGCACAGAGAGCATGACTAAATACTCACAATAGCTATAAATCATTATATAAATAAACACTTGTTAAGATGAATATGAATAARATTCATTATACGATCAGAAAAACACAAAACAGCTTACCTTAACACTTATTAATGATTTTTAATTATACTTTTTCCTTGGGTCCAAATATGAGCGTGCTTTTTTAGCAAATTATCTCAAAACACTGGATGGATTTTGTTGATGTATATAAACTGATTAAAATTTAAGAAGCTGATTCAAGATGGCTGCCACAGCTTTAGCAAACACTTAAAATATCTTAAACTCAGTCAGTTTTACATAAACGGAGTTAAACTTTGAGTATTTGTTTTGGGAAGGCTCTTGMTACCACACCAGATTATAATAAGGGTTACTGAATTTTGAACAGTATTTTCTTGAAATGCCAGCTCCAGAATAAAGGTAAAGAACAATCTTCGAGCCCAAACAGTCTTACATGAACACTTTTCTCCTAAAATCTTAGACTCACACAAGAAATTTGAGCAAGCAATTCAGAGAAAATATCACACTACGTGGGTGACATGGAGTGGTGGCACATTCACTTCACATCTTTGCTTCTGGTTTGGACCTCAGCTTTGAGCTTGTCTGACTTTGAATGTCTTCTCTGGACATTCTACCTTCTTGTTATGGGAATTATTTGACCTTTGAGTGCATCCGTACGATTGTGCATCTCTGTGGCCTGATGGTGGGCCGGTCCAGAGGGTGCCCCTCCTCTTGACTGATAAGGAACTTGGCTCAGCTCCAGCCAACCCATCGCCTGGTGACTCCTAACAAGATTAAAAGTGACTTTGGAAAAGAGATMGGTTTTTGAGTTTGTAAGAACAAACCGCTCCGAAAAGGAATCCTCTGAACTTTAAGAATGTGTTGACATCATTGCCAAGTGGTCAACTTTTAAAACTTGTGCAAGTCAACCTCTGAATGAAGGTGGAGGCAACTTTGTTTGTTTAATGAACCATTGTGATTAAGTGCTTCCTGACCCACTACTAACTCTAGGAAAAAGAAACCCATGACACATCCTCAAATCATTCTTAGCTTTAACACCCATTTCCTATCATTGTGGTTCAACAACAAAAGGAGACCTAGAAAGTCTTTCAAAGTTTCTAAAATCCAACAAAGGAACCGAAACACTTCATACCAATTACCCAACGTTAGAGCAGCATTTCCTCTGATTATGTGATTATTAGTATTTAACACTTTCACTTTGATGTTAAAACATGTATAGTTTTATTTGAAAGCTTAGAGTGTGTAAATGCAAAACTTGGTGTGATGCCAGAAAGACAGACACGAATAAACTGGTTTGTGGCAAAGGCCTCCATTTATATTCCCATTTACATAAACTATTTTGGTGCTTGGCAACTCTCTGAATCCTGTCAGTTTTTCTATTGATGATTCTATCTCTACAAGTTATATATGAAAAAAAAATAATGCATACCTTTGACAGGCCGCATGAAGAATATCCTAATATCTGAGATTGTATGATACATTTCTCTAGTTCGCCCACTGGGTTAGGGAAGTTGAAGTTAAAGTGTTTTGCAAACAAATGAGAAAGCCCATCAGAAAAAGACTAAATGTGCAACAACAAAATACCTCAACTGTTGCAAATGTTCGATATTTTAAGCTTTCCTGTTTTATTTTTTTATGAAAAATAACTTTACATTTCCATTATGTAGAATATGTTTCTAAGTTGCCCAATTATTTCAAGTATATCAAGAGCAATAACAAACAATACAATATGGTTGCAAAGACCGAAACTCACCGATGTTGGAGTGCTTCAGGAGACGGCAGATACGAGCTTCTCTCTCAAGCTTCTGATGGTCTGGGAAGAAAATAAAAATAAGTTGAAACAAACCAGCAGAATTGGGAATCTTTAGGCACTTTACGAGTCCAACACAATTCAGAGGATTGTGATGAAATAATAAAAATATTACTGATGCATCTTTCTCCCCTTGTGTGACTATTTGATTATTTTAAAACAAAGTAGCTGTAATGATCCAAAATGACTGGTTTATCAAAAGATTGTGAAAATAAAGTATTGAGTAGTAGTATTTGCTGTCCTAAAATCAGCTTTCATTTAAAATGCTAACAGCTGATTCAAATCCACAACATGGCAAGAAAACCCTGCTTCTCAATGATTAAATACAAACAAATCCTTTGCAATAAAAGCTGTATGGGATTTGCAATTTAGTTCAACTTTTTTGAGTTAGGTGGAAATTTGTGGCGTTGCTTTCTTCGTGGTGTTCTTGTTAGTGGTTGCAAGTTTTTCTTCCTCCTTCAGTGGAAACAGGGTTTCTCGTACCCGTTGCATTTCCAAATTATTTCAGTTTAGTTTGTCATTATTTGCATATAGTTTGTCCAGATTCCTTAAACCTTAAATACCTGCAAACACTTGCTCTCAATACAGAAGGTGCTGGTTGTACCTCGCTTCTTGTGTCTGTTATGTGCACAATGAAAAAGTTTAAAAAATTGCACCTCTATGAATTTAATTGGTTACAACAAACAYATAAACTCAATGTCAAACAATAATCTGTGTGTCTGTTACGCAGTAGTCTGCATCACTAATAGGCCACTGCTTCTTCCAGACAGATTACAAAAGTGCCACAACCACTAAATGGTAACTAGACAGAAGTCATTTAGATACTGTATATAAACATTAGAGGGTGTTTGGACTGCGCCGGCCCACAGTAGCTCTTTCACTCAGGCACGACACAGAAGGAGATTCTCTTCATGGGAAACAATCTCACAAATGTAAATACTCCTAAACAGCACCTGGTAGAGCGCCCAGGAGGCAGGACAGGATGCAAACAGCTGCAGGAATTTTTGTTTTGTTTACAGCACATAGAGAATGATAAACGAGATTCCTTATGCGTAATGGTTGCATCTGTGTTAATATCACATAAGCAAAGTAACAAATAGTAACTACTGTCAGCATACAAACTCAAACTTATCAGAAGAATTACCAGCCCTGCTCGCATGAATATTTTAAAAAGGGATCCCTGATTAGTTGTAACATTAGATTTTATTTGATAAACATTTATTTTAACTGTAAAATAAAGACTGTAAAAATACTGTAGGATGTTTAGTTTTTATAATTTTTAAACTAAAAGTTTAAAAATATATTACACGAACGGGCCCATTTTATTTACATGCAAAGCATTCTGGGTAAATGCTGACGTGGATAGGTCCTCGATGCGAGGCTGCTAGCGAGCTATATCCACCCTGAAGGTTAATCTTGGACAATATCTGATGATCGACCCTTAAATGAAACCAGAGAGCATTGACGTTAATTAAAAATTAATTAATTTTTAATTAAAAATTAATAAAATATTAAATTAATATCATCAAATTCTTGCTAATACACAGCCCTAGTGCCCATGTGTACTTCCACAATGAAGATACACCTGGAGGACAGGTAGCTCCACAATCATCACACATCATTTCCCTTTTTGTCATCACATCATCTAAAAKCAGGAGTGAGCATCAAGGCCAGAGAGAGTCTATTGGATTGACTGAATATTTTATTAAACGTGCAGAATATAAATGATAGTACTCAACCCTCCTGTTGCCCTTGGATCAAGCTCCAGCACACAAAGCCTCAGTTTTAAGACTGAGGCCTTGTGGGTCATTTTGACCCAAGGACAGCAGGAGGGTTAAAATATAATAGCCTATGATTTACTGCAGTCCTTTGCAGTATTGATATTTCACTCACTGATATTGCGAAGACAATAAATTTGAAATATACTTTACAGCCCTATGACCAACCCCAACTCCACAGACGCTGTGTGAGATCATAAACCTTTTTTCCTGTCAGGGAGTAATTTAATAGTAAGGAGCAGTAAATGTTTTATTGAAATAGTCAGCTCTTCATTTAACATTAGCCAGCATGTGAGATGGTGTGAACCCCATGCTCATATAGATAACCACATCTGCAAACCTTTTTGGTCTGTGTAGTAATCTTTTTATTTTTTTTATTATTTTTTTGTCATCTTTTAACCTTTAGAGTACATTCTAGCATAATAATATCTGGCAAGAATTGCTTGCAATGTTGTCTTATTACAGCATGTACTTTCAGGCATTTATGTCTTCTGGTATAATTTTAACTTTTGTTGTCTGGTTTAAATTAATGACAATACAATTATTACTTTTGTAGCTAACGCATCACAGAACAAAAAGGAATGGGGGAAAAAAACAAGATAAAGACAAATTCTTCCATCTAAACAATTATAAAAATTGCCTTTTTGTTCTTATCATATCTGAGAAGGGCAGGCTTACAAACTTTCCCACTGAGATGGTGTGCCTGGTCTCCACAAACACCACTCAGCTCAACTTCTGTTCATTCTTCTATAAAGTAATTGCCTTGACAGCAACAGTTTTTTCTTCTTCAAAAACACGGCCCAAAGTTAACTTTTTGATGGTTCTTTTTGAAAAAACCTATTTGACAATTTTGGCTCAAGTATTTACAAGAGTTCAGTCAATGAAGACAGACTTGGGTCATTTTATCAGACTATAAAACAAACAGGTTACGCAGCAGCGTTTAAATGAAGGCATTTAAAACACTTCTGTTGCCATTTTTAGACATTCTGGGATACCGTAACACTGCCCGGCTCTATTGTGTGTAGCAGCAGACGCAGGAATTTGCACATGGTTCCGTGTTTGGCTCGTATGCGTGTAAGCGAAAGGGTTTCTACGAAGCACCAGTAATAGAACACTGCAGTATTTACTCTTCAGGTGGGGTGGGGATGCTCGCTTGAAGACTCACATGCACACACAAACACACCCTCTTCATGACCAAACCAACATCCTTGTTTGAGGATTTTACTGGATCCTGTGGTTAACGGTGTGCTTGAAAGAGATGTTGGTCTGCAAACGTATCGACTATCCTTAACTATCTAAGTGTTATGGGTTGCTGTGGACACAGAAATATCTCCTGGTCATGAAGCTGAGGTCATGGGTCAGGAGGTGGAACTGTAGGACGATCCATTGTGACGCAGGGTGTGTGTGATCTATCACTGTGGTTAAGCCAACTAACTTTAAACACACAGACCCATAGAGATTACATGACACAGAGGCAGACTGGATTTGCATCCATTTCTCCAGAGCAGCAACAACCTTAGATAATATTCACATGCTGTTACTTAGCCATTACTTATCTTTCTGTTCTTCTACAGCAGCTACACACATTACTGCTACATGTTACAACGAGCACCGTCTAGTAACGTGAGAACTACCTGTTTCTGCTAGTCCTGTCTACCTTACACTGGCCAGTTTTTCTTTTTGTTGCTATTTATCAACATGAATGTGAATGGTTTTGCCTGTCAATGTGTTTATTTGCAAAACATCTCATGTAGGGCTGCCACGATTAATCGATTAATCGACGACTAATCGATTATTAAAATAATCGATGACTAATTTAATAATCGATTAATCGTTTTCTTTTTTTTGTTTGCTTTGTTTTTCTCTCCAAACTGCTTTGACACCTTCCACTGCCACATCTGCCTTTCTGTCCTTGACACACATGCACAGTAGTGGTAACTGGGGTAGGCCGTGGACGTCACAAGACATTATACAGACAGGCTCTAGTATCATGGRTACCTGGCAATGGAGCTCAAAAGTGTGGGATCATTTTAAGAAAACGAAAGAGAAACCTGTGCAATATCTGCAGAGCAGAACTTGCCTTCCACAGCAATTATTTTTAGTTAGCATATAGCCAAAATCTAACGATGGTTATACAATAGCAGCTGCATTCTTACGTGATAAGCTGTATGTTTTATATTCAATTATCGTATGATCCGATTAGTCGACTAATCGAATAAATAATCGGTGATTAATCGATTATTAAAATAATCGTTTGTGGCAGCCCTAATCTCATGAACTACTGGACAGGGTTTAGCTGAACTCTCAAAAAGTAAATGGAAGTAGGCCTGTCATAAACTTTGAACGATAAACTGTCTCAGAAATTATCGCGATGAACAATAATATTTCTGGATACCATTTTAAACTACTATAATGATACCCCTCCCCTGCTTATGAAGCTTTCAGAAGTTTATGAAATTTAGCTACGTAACCTCCCCCCGCAAAACAAATAATTAAAAAAAACAAAAAGGTACTAACTGACCTGGACCGGAGATTGGGAAAACACACAACAGCCGCTAAATATGCAAAATTGCGTCCGTCACATTAATCCAAGCTGGCACAACGTATTCTATATGCATCTTCCTCTGGCTTCATAAAATAGATGCGTTCACCCAACTCTCTGTAAACCCAAGGTTTGGCACGAATGGGCAAATTTAGGCATCAAAAAACAAAGATGCTCTCGTGCTACAGAAGTTACAAGACCACGTGCCTGTCAAACACCCGATGTGAACGTTCACCAGTAAGGAGTAGAAAACAAATACATGAAAAATACACGTGCAGGAAAATGAAAATCAAACTCATTCATTATACTGTGCAATTAATTGATTTTTTTAATTATTTTTTTGCTCATTGCGACAGGCCTAACATCTACAATCCAATTCAAAATGGCTACCAACACTTGGCAACATAAAACTGGCTGTGATTCAGTTGACTTCAGCTACTGAGCTGACAGTCATTCACAACACGTACTCATATTGCACAAGATTGATAACATTTGAGATTTGAACAAAAGGGCTACAATTCTCATTTCTCAACGTAAAACTAGCTTAATGTAAAACGTTGACATAAGGCAGCGGGTGATATGCATTCTTTAACAGAATGRTTGCTCTTATATTTGAATGCATTCTGAAACCTTATCTTCTGTCACCTTTTCACATCTACCTTTAACTAACCAACCTCACTTCA